GTTATGCACAAACAATGAATCATGGAACACTACATCAAAAACTAATGATGTAATGTATGGTGATTAACATAACAATAAAAAATAATTACTCATCCATCCCTACACTCCACAAAAAAATCTGTTTACTTGGCTTTTAAGGATGTTTCTCAACAAGCAAGTGTGCTAAGGAATTGATTTCTTAAGCTTTCACATGGTGGAAGTTGACTGTACATATACTGGACAGTTTCGAGAGAAATTGCTGGGTGTATTTTATGCAGGTCATCCCATTACTGGATCTATATATTTAGTTTGACATATGCTTAAGTTTCATATTTCCAAATGTTCTAACTATCACCAAGTTGTTCAAGATATAATAGCAATGATAACTTCTTTTGAGGGAAGCTTTCAACTTTTCAAAAGGCTTTCGTATCCACTCCCCCATTTTATCTTACCAATAACCTGATTACATTGGTAAAGCAAGTACTTTTTATTGCTATTAGACACATAATATAGCTGAAACAGGGAGTGATATTAAATATCTCCAATAAGACAAACAGCTTGATCTCAACAGGAATGATAACTACAAGCTTGCTAGCTCGTTGGATGTGGTTTGTTGTACCTAATTTTGTATTATCTCAAATTCCTTTTATGGAAGTAGCCTAATGTAAATTACAAAAAAAAAAAAAAACAAGCCCCAAACCCACTAAAATAAAAATAAAAACAAAAACAAAACGAAACTATGCTTTTGCACATTCAACATAAAATTTTGAAGTCTATGAATTTGTTCTTCCAAGGGTTATTGGCATTTTCTATTTTTGTAGGGAATTTTAACTTTAAATTAAAGCTGTGGACTCTTCTTGCAGACTTCACAAAAGACTGTAAGAATTGTGCCCCATTTGTAGAATCTCAACTGCAACCTTCAACAGTGACCAGGAGTCATGTGGACCAACCTGGAAAGATAGTGACAGCAATGTCTTCAGTTGCTCTTCCTCTATCATTTTTGGAATTTTCATTGATAAAACAGTCAGATAGCAACACTTCCAAACACGGCAGAAAAATATTTTCTATGCCATAATCTCCATTGACTTCATCAGGCTAAATATATCAGCCTTCTGAGGCTGGCCAGGAGATGGCACCTTCAGAGAGAACAAACCCTCCAGTTGCTAGAGTTAAGAAACCACTTCACTTGGTAGCCTTAAAAAAGTCTCACCAGCGGAATGACAGAAACAATCTTCTTGCCCATATCAGTTTCTTGAATACCATGCTGATATCACTAAAATTGTCCCTTCCTATAAATAATAATTATCCTTTTTCTTGTCAGTTTTCAAAAGGAAAACTGAGGGGCACCTGGGTGGCTCAGCCAGTTAAGCATCTGATTCTTGATTTCAGCCTGGGTCATGATCTCAGCGTCCTGGGATTGAGCCCCACCTCGGGCGCCATGCTCAGCGTGGAGTCAGCTTGGGATTCTCTCCCTCTGCCTCTGCTCCCTCCACCCCTGCCCCCACTCATGTGTGTACACTCCTTCTCTTTCTCTATCTTAAAATAAATAGATAAAATTAAAAAGAAAAAGAAGGCCTCAAAATGTTAAAAGAAAGAAAGAAAGAAAAAGAAAGAAAGAAAGAAAGAAAGAAGGAAGGAAGGAAGGAAGAAGGAAGGAAGGAAAGGAAGGAAGAAAGAAAACTGAGAAGGTTCCAATTCCACCATACTCCACCTCACATCATGATACAGCAAATAGTTATTGAAGACTTACTGTGTGCCAGGCACTGTTATAAGCACTTAACATGTATTAATTCACTCGACTGGCTTCCCCTTCATACTGGCTTCCCCGGTTATGTGCTGGAACTGGCTTGCACCAGCTCACAAGAACCCATCGCACATGTCTCTTTAGGACTACACAAGTACACAAGTCTGTGTACAGTGACATCACATGGATAGTTTGAAACTGGTCACAGTGGGAATATTTACACAACAGGAATTGGTAAATATTACAAATGAGGTCTTGAACCACCCCCTTTCAAGATCCGGTCATTCAGCATTGACCAGCACACCACTGTTAGTGACTCCTGATTATTCTGAATTTTTGAACTATTATATTATACACAGACATGGTCACGACTCTCAGATCAGGATTTAGTAGACATGAGTTTACTAAAATGTAATGGCACCTTATCTTTGGGAATAATGTTATTACTTGAGTATGTTTTACGTTGAGTTTCTTAAAAATATCTTTTAGAGAAATTTAAGTATTGTCAAAAAGCAAAAAAAAAAAAATAAAACAAAACAAATGAAAATAAAATGAAAGAGAAAACAAATCTCTAGGTTGTCTAGGTGACTGACATTGTAAAATCACCATACAGAATATCGTCAACAACAACAACAACAACAAACTCCCTGTTTCCTAGCAGTCACTGAACACTATTAATGGAAACTTTCATACAAGATTAAGAAGTCAATATAATGCCCTGAAGCACAGAACAAGGATTAAATTGGAATCGGCATAATTCTATTACACTGTAGTGTATGCTGATTATTTGGAAATTGATCGATGAATATATGCTAATTCTCTACGCACCAGAATGTTGAACTAAGCAGATGACCTCATTTCCCTGCGCACAAAACACTAGTTTTACCGCACCAACTCAATAGGTTGTTAAGGACCTCCTACAGGTGGGAACCTTTTCATATCATTCTGTTCTTCCCTAAAAGGGCTATGTGTTTGCAAATAGAACACTTTTAATAATGAATGTCCCTGCACAATAATGTTTATATCCAACGGAACTTGTAACCTATTTACATTGTATACAGTTATATCAAACTGACCCATTTTAAAACTTCGGAAAACATATCAGTCCCTGAGAAACACTTTGGAACTGAGATTTAAGTAGCTTGTTTTCCTTTGCTAAAACTATTTCTATATCCAAACTTCATTAAAGATAGATATTCAGGTTCAAGTATCTGCAGAATATAACCTGTGCAGGTTGGCAGAATGGGGTAATGTGGGCAAGACAGAGACAGGTGGTCTGCTTGGTGTCCAGAGAGAAGAGCAAACCTGGATCTGAGTGGACTGCTTGCGCCTGCAAAGTTAAAATACGTTTTCCATACTGTGCAAAGCAAAACCTGCACAACTAGTACTTTCATATAAAGTTAGGAAATTATAATTTAGGCTGTCTCTATAGTGAGAATGTTTTCATAATAATGAAATCTGACATAAATTGATGCTTAGTTACTTAACAATAGAAGGAGTTAGCAAGACTAAAGCTGATGGATGAAATATCAATTTATATTTGAGCCCCATTGTATTCACTGTGCATTAACAATTTTTTTTGCGTTTTCCATTAAGACTTGCAATCATTAATCTACTAAAAAAAACCCTCATCTGACTTATACTATATGCCTCATTTTTATTCAATGACAATTTGTTTTTGTCATGTCAAACTCAATAAGATACAGTCCTTAAATCACAAAATGTGTCACAGATTTGTTAAAAAATATCCAACCTCACCATCTGTTGATGCTATATATGCTAGTAACCCACAATATTTAATAAAAACTCAAGCGAAAGTTTGGGTTTCCATTCTTCCTCTTTTCAGGGGAAAACAAAGAGAAAAAGAAGCACATAGACACATTTCTTAATAAAAGAGTTCTGAAACCAAAAGTGTTAACAGGAAAAAGAATATGAGGGATTATACATTTCAACATAATATTCCTAGTTTGGGGAACTCAGAAATCGCTTACCATAGTTTAATTTCCATACCATTGACATATGATCTGGCCTAGATTAGAATCCCTCCTGGATTCATTTATACCCCATACTGTACACACTGACTTTCCCCCTTAGACATCCATGACCACGAGATGGCGGTGTGGTGCCCTGTTCAAATACTTTCTCACTTACTTGCAGTCTCTGTCCTCCAAATCAAAGTGAGGGTTGAAGTTGATCATAATTCTCTGGTATGGGTCGGGAGCCTGAATCAGCCATTCACATTTTTCACTTGGATGATAAGAATGAGGATAACCAGGAGATGTAAGGTACCCGGGGCTTTCAATTTTTATCGTATCGCCACACTTATCTGTAATAAAAATAACATTTTGGTAAATCTTCCCCTGACAACCACTTAGGTATTCTAGCTTTATATATAAATTACTGGTTATTATTCCATAACTTTTTAGGGGAAACTCCCCGTGGGTCCTTCAGGTGGCACTGATACAACCCCGCAGCCAAGGAACACTCTTTGATCCCAGGAAGGTTAGGTCAGGAGAAAAGTAGACTGAGATCTGACAGGACTCCACCCTTACCCCCCACAAAGTTCCTTCCCAAGAAAAAGGTCTTCTAGCGTTAAAAACATTAAATCCTCTCAATGGATGTTAACATGGTCCCCAGGGAGCTCCTGCTAGACTTAATTATCCCCCCCAAGAAGTGTAATCGCATTAAGTAGCAAGTTCTGAGTGGAAGGTGACTAAAAGAAGCTATTCGACCCCTTGTGTGGCTTTTTGATGATAAGCCTGGTCTATGTCATTGATCAGTGGGGATTGTCATCCAAGACTTCGATTGGCTTAAAGCCAAACCTTTTGTGTTGTTGTTTTATCTGCCCATAAATCTAAGTGATTTTGAGTTATCTCTGCTCTGGAGATCCAGATCAACAAAGAACAAAGTGTATTTGGTGAAGCAGAAATAATTCTGCTCTACTGCTCCAAGTAAAGTTGTTCAGTCTTAGAGACCAGATCAAAGCAACTGGGCAGAAAGAAAAATAAATAGCCACATAGCATTAATTCTAATTACCTAGATGTTGGGGAAAAACAACAACAACAACAACAACAACAACAACAACCCACCACACCAAGGTCTGGATATCACATATGGTAAGCCACAGTCTCACATTCTGGGAAAGGTGAGCTAACTAGTTTTGAGCCCTCATTTCAAAAAACCCAAATGCTGAAGTGATTCACTGAGAGCCAAATAAACCAGTCACTGGGCTGCTTTATTGTTCAGTGTAGATTCTCATTGTCACTTTTTATGATGAATTTCATGCTGGAAAGTCTCAGCCCGAAATGCTGCCACATTTACTGATGCTTAATTTTAAGCAATAAAAATTTGGTGCATAAACTATGTAAGAGGAATAGGTATGAAAGCAGTGAAATATATAAGCCTATCAATCACAAATTTTCAGTAATGGTATATATAGATTTTAATATTGCATCTAATAGATTCCCTGTGGAAAGAGAATGGCATTCTTTGCTCTCAGCATGAATTTATAAATCTACAGAATTTTATTACAGGAAAACCAGGTCAAATGGAAATGAAAGATGAAGTGCACATCAAAAATGCATAAAGCTACATGCATTACAGAAATCATTTCTCATAAATTAAAAAGAAGACAATATAAATCATATTGTTTTTCTCAATTGCTAGATATTTCTGACCATGTTTCTTAGACTGGGGGTACCCTTATACTGGTTTCCTTTGCCTTAGCTTTTAAAGGCTTAAGGTTTGCCAAGAAGAAATGTTGCAACTGGAGTTCGGAATCTCAACTAATGATTATATTGGACTCTGTTATGTGATTCAACTGAGGCTCTTCCATTATTTTAAATGTGCAGAAAACTTGGAAAGTGACCCCATCTCATTAAGTCTCCTCCAGCTCTATACAAACATCATGGCAGTGTCTGGCATCCGTTAGAGGAGTGAAATAAAACAGTACTGCTTCTAGTCACTCCACAGAGTCACTTCAGAAGACATTTAGGTGGACTCGGTACCACACCAGAGCTCTTTAATCTGTGACTTCTGAGAAAGTGACAGTGTAATAAGATAATGTGGACTGCTAGACTCCCTGGCTCTGTTAAATCTCTCTAACAGTTGATTAAGAAAGAGCAATTTCTAATGACTCTGGACCATTAGACCTAAATAAGGTTAATGAATTAATTTAGCAGACACTGGTACTCCGAGGAGGTGGACATGGCTTTAAGAGGTCTGCTGTGTTATAGAGGCATTTACTGACTCTGGTCACTGCAAGCATAGCAACATGGCTTTAACCAGTCACGCTCACAGACTGAGGCTCAGGTTCTCAGCATTCCCTAGATTTCTCCTAAGAAAATTTAAAAATATATTTCATATATATATACATTTGTGTATACATTCACATACACACACATATACATGGAGTTCACAACCTAAAGTCTGGAAGTTATTTGCATTAGGTTTCAAATTCATCCTGTGAACATCTTGACTATGGATTTAATCTCAGGAGTTGTAGAGGGCAGAGGTTGGGTTACTGTAATTTCTAAAGTCTAACCACTTGACCTCTTTCAATTGGAGGAGAATGTTATCCTTTGCCAGATTATAGAAAGATGTCACCAACTCAGGTTCATTAATAAATTGAACTCCACATTCACAGTGTGTGTGTGTGTGTGTGTGTGTGTGTGTGTGTGTGTGTGTGTGTTGCCTCTAAGCATATCTTTTAGAACACCGCTTGGTAGCTGTTGGGGGGAAATCTATTGCTTCAATCATAAAACCTCCAAAAAGCATATTAAAGAGATTAACTTCCATCATAAAGACGTGATTTAAATTCCTCTTGGTATGAACCCCTCCACTTGTGGTCCCTTATTAAAACAATATACCACAGTAAGTAGTGGGTGTTCTTTTCTTCTAATTACTTTGATTGAAATCTAAGCCAGACAAAAGTAAATATTTGATAATTAGTTAATAATAATTGCTGAAGACTTACTGTAAAGATAATTTCATACTCTTGCCTTCACCTACTTTAAAGCCTAAGTTAAACATGCCTACAACCAGATCACATTTTAAAATACATTATTTAGGTTAGGGGATACTGTTTATAACCCAGCATTCTTTCATTTACTTAACAGTTAGTGGTTTTAAAAGCTAAGTGGAAGCTGCAACTAGGTTAGGGATTTTCAGATATCCTGGTGTCTTACACTGTATATATCAGATTCCTTTATTGACACCATGTAACTTTCATTCATACTACAGACACATTAGGGGCGATTTGCAAAGGCGGAGGAGGGAGTTCCAGCAACCAAAAAACCCGCTATCTCTTGCAGGCACCCACCCGAGGAAACGGTTTCGAAGAGCTGCAGAAGAACCAGGAAGTTCTCCTGGTAAAGTGTTCATTAACTTTCAACAGCCATCAAATTTTTGAAAGGGAGTCTCATCTAATTGCCTTTGGGAGGAAACATTATTAAGATAATTGGTGTGCTGATCATAGAAGGTAGGCAGCTCTGCCGTGTAACAGGCAGGAAAACCCCCATAACCAAACAAGCAACTTCAGAAGGGAGGCAGTGGACTTGAAATCTTCCTGCCCTAAACCGACTATCTTACTTCTTTATTTCTCCTCCTGGACAAAAGTTTCCTTCGCCCAGGAGGTGGCTATTGCCGGTTCGCCCCGGCAGCTCTGCGTGAGTCCCGCGGCTGGGGCGGGAAGCCAAATCCCCGCCGGACGTGGGCAACCGGTGAGCCCGGGCGCCGCGCTGTCACACGCGCCTCCGCCTGTCACTTACCGTTGCGAAAAGCGCTGGCCGGGGCGAGGGCGACGGCGAGCGCGGCGCAGAGGAGCGGCAGCCCCCTCTCCATTCTCCCTTCGCCGGATCCCCAGGCAGAAGCGGGAGAACGAGAACGTGCGGGGAAAATAGAGCAAAGGGGGAATCTAAACAATCTGAAGAGCTTCAACTCCGCCTAGAGCTGTAAAATCCTCAGTCCGTCTTGGAGAAAAGAGGGCAGCGAGGCAATGCCTTGATGCCAGAGAAATGCTTCTCTTTTTGTGTCTCAAGTCGCCTGCATCCTGTCATTTAGCTCCGGTTTCCTCTCTCTTTTCCCACACTTGTTCCTCTTCCAGGAGCCACTGCCCGGGCCATGTCTCAAAAAAAAAAAAAAAAAAAAAAAAAAGGAGGGGGGCTAGCTGAGGGAGGAGGGAGGTAGGGAAACACACCAAAGCCAATTTCCAGAAAGAAAAAAAAAAATCCGACTTGTTTCTGGACCCGTTGGAGCCGAGGAGCTGGCGCCCAGGGGAGGTCCGGGGTGTCTGCGCGAAGGAGAGGAGCAAGCAATGAAAAGATGAGCGGGAGACAGAGGAGTTTCACCAACTGCACCCCCGCCTCCCCCACCTCCTCCGTCCTCCCCCTCCCCTTCTGGAGCCCTTCCCTCGCTTCCTCCCTCCCCTCTGCCGGCACAGGCTCGCCAGTAATTGCCTGACAGGAGATTGGGAGGAACAAGTTTCCCTCCGTGTGCTTGCCCCGTCCGTCTGTCCTTCTCTCCCGGAGGCCCCGAAGGATCTCCGCGGGAAGGGAGGCGTTGGGGGTCTGCGCCCAGGGCGTGGGGGTGTGGGTGTGTGTTTGGAGAGGAGGCTGCGAGGTCGGTGCCAGCGACTGGGTCGGGCTAGCCTACCTCCGCTTGCTCGCTCAGGACCAGGGGGCGGGGGGGGGGGAGGAGTGCGGCGCGCCCGGGAGGTGGCTGCTGTTTCTCCCAACTCCGAATCCCCGGCCGGCGGCGGCGAGGAGCGCGGGGCCAGTCGCGTCACTCCCGCTGTGCCGGCCCGAGGCCCGGGGCAGAGAGCAGCAGGGCGCCCCTGACGCTCTGGGCCGGGACTGCGGAGACCCGGGAAAGCTAGGCTGGAGTGGGAGACGCACCACAGAGCCGGGCGAGGGTCGACAGCGTCGCTGCCGCGTAAAGCCGAGTCAGGCCATTCGATCGGGCGAGGCTGGGCTGCAGCCGCACTCGGCCTCTCTGCCGGGTAGCAGGGCGCGCTGCCGGGCGCCAGTCGTGCCCGGGTGCCCGCCGCACACCGAGGACTCCATTGTTAACCGAGATTTGGTGCCCTCTCCTCCGGGACAGAGGGAACGCCGGAGGGTGGGAGGTGATGCGCCTCTCCAGCTAGGGGGCAGCCGTCGCCCGACCCCGCCCAGCCTCATGTCTCTATGGAGCCCAGGTGTTCCCGGGGTTGGCAATTAGGGGTCCAGTGGCCCCCGTTTCGGTGCCTCTCGGGGGAGGGAGAACAGTGGTGGGGGAGGAGGGCTTTTGGCAGGGCTCGCACGGTGCCCACCCCAGGCCACAGGCAGTTGTCACGCCAGTCCTCTAGCTCCTGTCCACCCCCACCTCCCAGGGCGGCGCGTCCTCACTGTGGGCTGGATGCCCCCCAGTTCCACCCCCAAGGGCTTTCCGGGAACTGCTGCAGAAGGCCCCTGAGGATATGAATAGCAAAGACATTTCAGGGAACAAACAGGTTTCGGCCACCAATCTGGCCCTTGAGGGGGTAAATGCCCTCCCAAGGACCTCTTCCCAAGGAGTTCGTGGGGAAGGTGAAAAGGTCACTACACCTTCTGGGAATTGGCGTTTATGTACACACCCTGAAAGCAGAGCCTTATTCCTAACCTGGCGCAAAGAGCTGGCCCAAGACATATAAGAATGTTGGCAAGGAGATTCTGGTCAAGGGTTTTGGCGGAAGAACTAGGGGCGGGACGGGAGAAGGGCAGCCCAAGGCGCGCGGGCCCGGCTGGGCGCGATGAGGCGCGCCCCTTGGGGTGCCGGCCGGCTGGGCGCCGGGCGGAGGTGCACCCTCGGCGCCAGCGCTCGCCGCGCTCTCTCTCTGGGTCCAGCTTTTCCTTCGCCTGCCCGCGCGCGGGGAGCCCCCGCCTCCAAGCTGGAGACCCGGCCCCCTGGCGCGCCGAGAGCGGGCCCTGCCCCCGGGCTCCTCTTTTCCCTCACCAGTTTCCCGGGTCTTGGCTCTCGGACCCCCGGGAGGCGCTGGGTGGGGAGGTGGTACTTCGAGGCCGGGAATCAAATGTTTGGGTCGAGCGTAAGGGACAGTGGCGGGGCCGCGGGGAGCCCAGCGTCCGGGCCCCGGGAGGCGGGAGGGCGGGCGGGAGGGAGGCGAGACCCGGACGCCAGCCGCGCCCAGCGCAGACCCGGGGAAGCAAGCGCTGCTGAGGAAAGCCCCGGCGCTGGGCTCCGACGGGCGCACGTCGCCTCCTCCCCTGTCCTCTCTGCCCCTAGCGCACCCCGCCAGTCCCAGTCCCTGAATCATCAGATTTGGGGTGACCCAGAGCGACCTCAGTCCAAGGCTCAGAGAGAGAGAGAGGCGCTTTTCAGAACTGGAGGGTTGACAGAGAAGGGGAATGGGGGTGTGTGCAGCGGTCAGGGCGTCCTCGAGTCACAAATACCCCGCCTTCTTCCTGGTGGGAACTAGGAGGCCGCACTCGCTCCGGGGAGCCGTTTCTGACCGGACTGCGCCTCGGCGGGGTGAGCGAGCGGGCACACGCGGGAGACTTGAGCTGTATTGTTTTTATAAAATTGCCGCCAATCTCTCTTCCCCTTTCCGTGCTGAGTGTGCATTTCCCAGCCTGGACCCACCACGCTAACAAATAAAGCCACCGGATCATGCACTCAGAGAGGGACTGCCCCCACTCCGCAACCTGGCTCTCTCTGGCTCCCTTTCCGCTCTTCCCGGGGAAGGGCTCCTCCAGTATGTCAACACGCAGAAAACCCCTGTCTCCTTTCTTGCTCACCGTCTGAGCACTTTCGCCAGGCTTTCTCCAACCAACTAATAAGACATGCACTATGTGCTGTGGAGGAAATATCAAGTTTAAGTTCTGCCTCTGATTTTTCTGGTCTTACCTGATCTGAGGCTTTTCTAGACTCCTTAGTTTCTCCACAGTACTGGGTAATGGAGCCCTACCACACTGATTGATAATTGCCAGCTAGTGGGTTTGTACAGAGCAAATCGTCCTTGCTAACAACCTCTTTCCTCTGCTGTTAGATTCCACTAAGTGCCGAAAAGGGTCAGTTTTAGATTTCTGCAATTCTCCAGCAACGGAGACAGACCGACCTTTATATGAGAATAAGTGATAGACAGAGGAAGAATTTGGCAGTGTTCCTAAGTTGATTTTATTTTGATCTTACGAACACATCACTCTTTCTGACATCACAAATCCCCAAACTAGATAGGACCTAGTTCCACTGAAGGGAAGATTCATGGAGCACACTTCCACAATGCCAGGCCTGGGCCTTGGGTGGGCAATTCCCAGCCTCATAGACTCCCACGCAGGAGCTGCTGCAGGAATAAGGCACTCAGACCTCCTGAGCAGGGCTGAAATCTTTGCCCACTATTAAGAATAGACTGGGTGGTAAATGTTAGGTTATTTTCATCAAGCTCTCATCAATTTGTCAGAAATAAGATGAGATCCATTGCTCCCAGAGGGCTATTTGAGTCACTAACTTCCTCAAAGTATTTCAGGTTGATGCAATATGGAGATTGAGGCTGGTATTTCAAAACTATATCAAGTCTAGTCAAGTTTTTTAAAGCATCAAACCCACATATTTCAGAAAAGCAATAAAACAACATATTTTTAGTAGGAGCTAACCTACATTTGAAATAGAAGAATGGAAGAAGTGAAACTGGGAAAAGATTAAAAATTTATAATTTACTATTATTTTATTTTTTAAGTTTATTTATTCTTAGTAATCTCTACACCCAGTGTGGGGTTCGGTGTCACAACCCCACAGAGCAAGAGTCACATGCTCTCATTCAGCCAGCCAGGAGCCCCTACTATTATTTTTAAAATTTCTACTAAAAATGACAGTTCTGCTGGGGCACCTGGGTGGCACAGTCGGTTAAGCCTCCCACTCTTGGTTTGGGCTAAGGTCCTGATCTCAGGGTTGGGAGATTGAGCCCCACGTGGGGCTTCCTGCTCAGCATGAGTCAGCTTGAGACTCTCTCTCCCTCTCCCTCTGCCCCTCCCCACATTCTCTCTCCTCTCGCTCTAAAATAAATAAATAAATCTCAAAAAAATTCTTCAAATATTGGAGAAAATATTACCATCTAACGTTTAAAACAAAGTTATCATGCGGAGTTTTTGTATTAAAGCACGTGCATTAATAAGATGCAGGAAGACAATGCTAAAATTTGAATAGTGTTAGTGGATTCAAAACATTTTTTGGTGTTAGAGGTTAGGGGTAGAATTTGAAAGCTGTGTATTTTTATTTGTCTGAAAGAACAATCTTAGATTATTCTGCCTTCACTTAATTACTTTTTAATTAGCAAAATTAAGATGATAATAACCAATAGAAACACTCATCAGACCAATAAAAACATCATTAGAGAGAACACATTCAAAATTTCCGTAGGACTGTTTTTAAATAGGAGAATCTATAAAATATAATTTGAGTAATTAAGCAGGGAAGTAGGTCTCTCTTAACATTTAATTACAGTTTTATAAAGAGAACTAAAATTTTAAGGAATTTTGAAAAAAATGAGTAAAAAATAATTTTAAAATTTAAAACAAAGACCAAAACAACCAATGAAAGAACACAAACCCACAGTTAAGAATTGTCAAATTTATCCTAACAGAATTTAGTTTTATTTTGTATTCTTATCAGATAACTTCAGGGGCTACATGGAGAATGGGTTATGAGTAGAACAAGGGAAGAAATGAAGAGACCAGTTAGGAAGTAACTATGGTATATCTAAATATGAACATGAGCAAGGATCGTAGCTGTGGAGGTTGGAAAAGGATGTCTTTCTGGTGTATTTAGAAGGTATAATCAACAGGGCAGATGGTGAGATGGTTATGCCAGTGAAGGAGAGGGTGTGGTCAAGGACAACTCCTAAGGTTCTGGCTTTCAAAACCCGATGGGTGTTGGTGATAGCCTTTAAATAGGCAAGGGACACTAGCAGACTAGTGTGGAAGGAAGATCATGAGTTTGATCTGATCTAGGTTTAGTGTTTAGTATCTTTGAGACAATCAAATGTAGAAGGAATACAGAAGAGTGGTTTGGATGGGAGATATAAATTTGTGTGTTGCTGATATGTAGTAATATATCATGATATCACAATACAGTAACTATAATAAATTAGTAATCAAAGTGGAAGGAATGGATGAAATTGCTAAGGAAATTGAAAAAGGAGGCCAAGACAGAATGATGAAGAACATTTCAAGGCTGGATTGTCAGGATGACTCAACAAAAGATCTTGAGAATGAGCAGCTGGAGAGGTAGGAGGAAAACCAGGAGAGTATATTGTCATAAAAGTCAAGTAGAAGGGAGATTTCTAAAAGGAAGTGCTAGACAAATGAGTTGAATA